GCCCAGAGCGGAGTGGAGTCAAGGGGAGAGCCAGCCACACTTGCCTGGTCAGGAGGACCGCACACCTGGTCCCCAGCTCTGGCTGGCTGTCCGGAGCCCTGGGGGTCCCCATGGCGGGGGAGCTTCACCCTCTCCCCGCTCAGGACCACAGAGTCCTGCCACGTATAAGGCTAGAGGATGATTAGAAGCCATGTGTGCCCGTGTTCTCCCTCCCTTCCCTCTCTCCTCTCTGCTTGGTGGAGCATCTGCCCCTGTGATTCAGAGTCAGACAGATCTCACCTGAGGGATAAGAGCCCTTTCTGATAAGGGGGGTCCCTTTGGACCTCCATCCTCTCTGCATGTGGAAGCTGAGGGGGGCCGCTTGGGGGGAGCAGAGAGTGTTGAAAGAACAGGAAATCTTAAGAGCTTAAGAGCCCTTATTTTTGCAGATCAGGAACTAAAAGGTGATGGGGCTGACGTCCCACCGTGATTTCTGGCGAAAATGGAGCTGGAACGCAGCTGTTCTGATTACGTATCAGTTGCTCCCTCTATGCCTCTTCCAGAAGCCAGGCTCCCTTGGGCACATTTGGAAATTCCTTTGGGAGCTGTGCACGCTTCAGCAACTGCGTTCCTGGTTGACTTCCGGGTCTGCAAGCAGAGTGCCTCTGATCAGGTAAGGCGGGTAAAAGCAGATCGAGGGAGACGGCAGAGCAGAGGGGTCTGGCTGTGGAAGGGAGAGGCCTTGGGGTCTGACCAGGAAGAGAGGGAGGAAAAAGAGGCTCTAGGAAGCCTGGCCAGCAGGACCAGAGGCTCTGCCCTGGGAAGGCTCTGGACACACTTCTGCACCCTGCCGTGTCTCCAGAGGGGCTACGCTGGGACTACGAGTCCTGACCCCAGCCTGCAGAGACCTGGAGAGAGAGTTAGGGTCGGGTCAGAGCTCCGCGGGGCTCCCTCTAAAGCGTCAAGCCTCTCACAAACCAGGGGAGCCAGTACCTGCTTCTCCCCAAACCAGCACCCACCCGCTTCCCTGTCACCTCCTGGATGACTGATTTAGGAAACAAGATGTTCAAAATCATTGAGGGGTGGGAGGAGGTTGGAAACCAAGTGAGAGCTCTCAAGGCTGATCAGTCTTTCTGCAGAGGTGGGGAGGGAGGGGGAGAACTGACCGGCGGTGGAGAGAAATAGACCGGGGTGGGGGAGGGGGATGCTCACATCGATACGGCCATCTGTGCCCTTTTGGCACCTTGTGCAACGGGGTAAAGGTCTAGGAGGGCCAATGCCTGTGAACTTTAAAATCTACAGACAATTACGAGGATGCTAGGAAACAGACACATATGCAAACACAAACGACCCTTCTAAAACATTGCTATGACATATTGATTCAGTTGACATAAAACATGCCCCGCGGAAACATGTGTCAGGTAACGTGCACATACATATCTGGCGAGGCAGGAGTAGCTGCAAGCCCTTCCCCAGCTCTCTTCAAGAAAGCGGAGAGTCAGCAGCTGCTACACAACGTCCCCCATGGTGTGAGCGGCTCAAGGATGAGGATGGAGAGGTTGTAAGAAAGGGGGGCAAAGGGATGGAGCTACAGTTAGCAATTGGAATGAAAAGAGGGGCTCAGGGACGAAGGTCACGTAGCGGGGAAATGTGCACGAGGCCTCTGCCACAATTCAGACCTCCGGACGCGTGCAGGCCGAGGTGACCGTGTATACACGTGGAACCCCACGTGACTCATGTTTCTTCAGAATCACAGGATGTTTGAGTTGAAAAGGACCTTGGAGGGTTTTTAGCACAAACTACCATCCAGACGGCCAGAAATCCAGCTCTAGAGCCCGGCTTACCTGGGCCCCGGGAATTTAGACACCGAAGCAGAACACCATCCTGGCTGAGCCCCTGGGTGGAGCTTGTGACGTGTGTGTGTGTGTGTGTGTGTGTGTGTGTGTGTGTGTGTGTGTGTG